ACAAAATCTTGTTGGATATAAACATGAAAATTTCATACCACAATACCGAAGCTATTCTTAAGATCTTTGCATATTTTACATGGTAGTTCCTTTGGTATCACTAATAAAAGTTTTTGTACTTGCAGATCTCAAAAACCAAGGTCTTATTGGATATAAATACGAAACTTTAATACTCCAATACTTTTAAAATCTTTACCCTGTTATCACATACTGTCGTATTTTTACATAGTGATTCCTTTAGCATTGTCAATCATAATAAAAGCTTTTATGGCTGCGGTATCTTTGAAACTAAAAAAAAAATTGTATTTTATAGAGCACCGATCAGCGTTAATTATTGGATGATCATTGATTTGTGATATAAGTCTTGCACGTATGAGGCAAATTTTCACGCGTATGGGCAAAATTTGGCAATTTTCGCGCATATGGGCAAAATTTGCGCATATGAGGCAAATATTCGCGCATATGAGGCAAAATTTGCGCATATGAGGCAAATTTTGCACTATATACGGTGTATAAAGAACACCAATTATTTTTAATAATATATGCGCAAATTTAAATCTATGTGCGCTGCGCCTACTATGCAGATCCAATTTACATCACTGGATAGATCACTGCACTGTTTGCTTATTTTCATACAAAATTTAATTTAAAATTGCTTATTTTGACCAAAATTTGCAAAATTTACTATTTAAAAACACAATGTTTGATAATTTTCTACTAAAAATTTCTTTTTTAGTAACCTCTGACCTATCTATATATAGCTTGGGGTCCTATTTTAGTCAATTTGATGAAAAAAGTGTAACTATTCTTGGGCATGGTTTTGTGAGAACCAAAAAGCTATATTGTATATATTGTATATATTTTTAGTAAGTTGTCTTGAAGGGCTATCAATAAAGTTGTTTTTCTATAATAAAATAGAGTAAGGATTATAGGAATTAATATAGTTAAAAGATAGCATTGGAGAAGTAGAATAGTTATTGACAAGTAGATCTGCAAGATTGTTAAAAGTGTCATCAAAGTGAGCTTGAACTTTAGAAAATGAAAGTTGAATATTAAAGGCTTTTAGAATGTTAAGAAATATGTGCCAAGTTGGCCAAGAGTTAAATTTGAAGTATTTTGTAGAGTGAGAAAACAAGGTAAAAGTTTGTTGTACTTGGATATAATTGACTATAAGTCAGTATAGATTTGTAGACTGGAATTTTGTAAGATAGTAGAGATAACAGACAATATTGCTAATAGTTCAGCTTTGTAGAAAGAGGGCCAATTAGAAATTTGGGCAAAAAAATTTTGTAAAACTAAATTGTTGTGAATTTGGATCTAGCTAATACCTATAAAGCATTGATTAATACCAAGTTGTTTAACAGATCTATCTATATAAAAGATAAATTGATATTAAAATAAATTGGCTAGTGCAATCTGGGTGAGCTGAAGAGAGGCTTCATTGTTATAAAAGATGCTAGATATAGAGGAGTTAATAATATTAATTGAAGGTGGTAGTAGTATTTCTATAGTATTTGATATTGGTAGAATAGATGAGGTCAATATAATTTTTATTAAGATTAAGTTGTTTATTGGCTTTTTTTCTTCTCTAAGGTATAGTAGCTTGAAATACATTTGGAGTTAAGGCTGCAGCCTTGATAGGGTGTGTATGAAATAGGAGGTAGTGAATAGTGGTTAAAAATAGAAGTATTGATATTGTGTTGCTAGTGTGTTATAGAAATAGTATTTGTTTGTATAAAGGTTCTGTGAACTTGACCTATTACAATATACTCAATGTAATAAGTTAAAACCCAAGGTTTGTAAGTTTTAGGAATAAATTTGGTTTGATATACAAATGAATTAGGGCCTTTGGGCTAAAAGTGAGGTAAAATAGTATAAGATAGGTTATTTTTAAAAGTATTATTTTCTAAATAATTAAATTAAAGTAGTTTTTTGCCTTTAGGAATGTGTAGAATTCTGGGGAATAGGTGTAGCTAGTTTAACAAGATCTTGTTATCTGTTAAACAGAGTTGCTCTAAGTATAGAATATTTTGTATCTAAGTTGTTATTTGAAAGTATTGTATTTAGAGTGGTTAGAAAAAATGTTTTCAAGTAGAGTATAGTTATTATTTATAGTTTGGGCCAAAAAAAGTCTAAGTATACATGTATAGAGATATATAAATAATTAAAGAGTTGTATGATTTTTAGAGTAGTAGTGTGTTTATTAGGGCTATCGATAATAGAGTAAGGGTGTCGAAGGATATCAGTTGTGGACTAAAGATAGTTTTGAAGTTGTTGAAGTCAAATATGTGTTGTAGTGCCAAGGGTAGAAGAGTTGTTAATTCAATTAAAAAAGTTATTAATATAGTGTTGTAATTGTATATCTTAAATATTGTAAATATTGTAAAGATTATAATTGAGAAGTGTGCTATTGGGAATGGAGTGAGAAAGGTGTGCTTTATGTTTGGCTATAGTGAGATATTTGCCCAAAATTTGGTTGCATTTATAAAAAAAAATTACAACATTATAGAGCCAGTATTTAGTAGTAGGAATAATAACAGTATTAATAATATAAGTAATTTGTTTGTTTGTTATATTTTTAGTTCTAACTGAATAGCTTTGTCTTGAATTAGCTTAATTTGTGAGGACTGTTTGTTGTTGAGAGTGAACCAGTATCCCAAAAATTTAAAAAGTTGATAGGTTGGGATAAATTGCAGATTGGAGTTAAAAAATGAAAAGTTGGAAGAAGGTTTCTTAGTAATAAATATAGATTTGGTAGGGTTGACTTGAATATCAGCTATAGAATAGAAAGAGAAAGCTGTTTTAGTAATTTCTTCGAGTTGTGTTTTGAATTGGGCAATCTATAATATATTATAGAAGTATTAAAATGGTTTGTGGAAGAATGAATAAGGCTAGTTTGATAGGAAGTAAAGTGTGTACAGAGAGTGGCTGATACTTTGAGGACCACCCAACCTGGTTTACCCAGATTTTTAACAGTTTATTCTCAGATCCTAAACATATAGAAGACTAGTGTTTGTGTTTGTATTTCAAACAGTTTTGGTGAAGTACATATTGCTATATATAGTTAATAATATTAAACTATATAATTCTACTATTTATATGCCTAGCCTAACCCTTATATGGATTTATCTTGTGTTTACACTGACTAAACTGATTTGTATTCCTTTAATCCTTATTTCAAACTATTTTTAAGGGGCCCCAACCCTTTATTCTTCATTCTTTTCTAAACTGAACACCATACTCAGAATTTGCAAGTAGTTTTTCCTAATCTGGTTAGTCTGAAGATCTTGATGATTGTACTACTTCTATATCAGGATTGACTATAGAGGCTTATTTTGTGTTTGCGCCAATATATACTAGCTTGCATTTCTTTATCTGGGACTTTCCCAAATGAATACTCTACCATAGATTTTGTTACATAGGCAGTACTCCTAGAAACAGTATTTTTGGTCTGCTTCCTTCAATTACAGTATACAGATTAAGTTAACATATCCAGAATGGATATATACAGAGTAGTTTTCAAATTTTTATCACTGGTAGAATTTAAACTCTAGACCTTGCTACTTGGGGGTAACACTCTACTACTTTGCTATGTTGCTACACCCTTTTTGTATAAGTTTGTATAAGTTTATAGTAACATAGTTTTTATGTAATTTGTAATTTATATAATTCATTAATATTAGTAGAGCTTATTATACATATTGATATATAAAATATAAGGGAGAAGAAAGTATTATGATGAAGAAGGATATTATGATTAAAGATGGGCAAAATAGTGTTTTCTATACCATGCATACGCATGGTATGCTGCATGCATGCATGCATATATGCATATTATGATAAGCTTGTCAACAAAATGAAGAAGTATTCATTATTGCAAGATCAGATGACTTTATTGCAGATCCACATATAGATTTGTTTGTTTTTCTATTTTGGGTTAGCCAGTGGTTTTGTCTGTGATGTATGGGTTAGATGCAGGTTTTTTCAGGTGTTAGATTATGTTTGTATATGATTTATTGTTGACAGGGTTTTATAAATGTAATTTTCAGATCTAAAGATATGAAGAAAGTTTCTGACATGTGAATAGTTTAGAAAGTTTGGGGTAAAGCAAAAATTATTATAAGGGGTACATGTGTCAGTAAAGGAAGAGTTATCTTTCGTTTTGCTATCACTCACCTTGAAGAGGCTGGCTCTATCATCCCACCTGTGCCCTCCAGTAGTGAAAATAAGGCTCCACGGTTGAGTAGCTATGCAAGAACCTTTGGTAGTAGTGTCAGGCTCTGCAGCTGGATAATAGTGCAAGGACCTTCATTAGTTGGTGTATAGGCTCTATGGCTGTGCAGGCAGTGCAAGGACCTTTGAAATTGAATCAACATATATGTAGAAGGACACTTCATTCAACGATTCGATCCTTGTCTTTAGCTATATCATCGCCTGTTTCTGCCTTTATAGTCTGTTTTTTGGTTTTATTGGGTTTAGTTAACAGTTGTTGGGATGGAATATTAAATTGTTCAATCGCAGGAGTGAGGGTTTCTTTGGATTGGTCAGTAAGGTGAGACTTAGTAGTATAGTATAAATGTATATGTATTTTGAAGTTAGAGCCAGATAACGATAGCAAGTCTATTCCCATATATTTTTTCTTTGATTAGCAATAAAGTCTTATGATTGAGCAATAATAATATGCAGTATATACTGTACTTACAAAATTAAATTTTTTTCAAATTTTAAATAAAGATATCTCAACAACTACAAAACCAAATTTAATAAACTTTTTTTATTTAAATTTTATATATTCATAGAAATCAAATAAAAAAAGTTCATCAAGTTTAGTTTAGTAGTTGTTGAAATATCTTTGCTTAAAGTTTTAAAACAAAATTTAAATCATTTACAAAATAGGCTTTTTAAAACTTTTTCCAAGTTTAAACAAAAATATCTTAGCAACTACAAAGCCAAATTTGATAAACTTTTTTTTATTTGAATTTTATAAATTC